GTAACTCGCCGTTTCAATTCTTCCTTGCCCACTCCGCGACCACGGAGCGTCAGAAGAACAGTCCCTATCAGTGCTGTAGGCATCACGACAGACACTTCGTTGATATCGCTCAGAACCTGATAGCCCATCGTGCGTAGAAGTTTCTCTCGTACTGCTCGGACTTCTGGACGTTGATGATCAGTATCAAGACCGCGCGGTACACTGGGCAGTTTTGATAGCTGGTCATCCAAGAACTTTCGTAAGCTCCAAGGCTCATGAAACCTGACATCGACGCGGCCCAAGCGTAAAGAGAGGACGGAAGAGCCGCCGCTCAAAAAGTCAGCAAGATTCTCCTTCTTCTTGGGCATTCCAAGTAGCTCGGTAACATAGCCCTCCGTCTCAATAACTTTATCGTACTGGGTGCTGACAGGGCATATGATAGCATCCTTAACACGCCCAGATAAAATACTATCGAGTACAAAACTAAGAATACCAAACTTTGGAGGCAACAACTTCCCTGTACGAGAGCGTCCACCTTCAATGAAGCACTCGAAGTTGTAGCCTTCTTGAAGTAGTGTATCGATATATGACTGGACTAATGTGGTGTAGAGGACATCATCGCCGAACGCCCTTCGAATCCACATGGCTCCTGCATGCTGAAGGAATTCGCCCAAGACTGGGATGTTCAAGTTGTCCCCTGCAACCACGACAGGTAACGTAAGGCCTAAGCGGTAGCAAATGAGCTGCAGCGAGACGTAATCGACGTGCGATCGATGACTCGGTAAGAAGATGATGCTCTGTTTCTTCTTTGCTGCGACCTCAGCGACCTTCCGCAGGCGCAAAACCTCTTCACTGGAAACATGGATACCTTGGTGATATGCGCGCGTCAATAGCTGAGTGGTCAAGTAGTAGGCCCCACGAATAAACGCTTTGCTTTCCATCTTGCATATCATATCGTCAGTCCACTTCTCCGCAAGCTCTTGAAGACCTGACTCAATCTCTGTGAGTCGATGGGCCCGTTTGGCGCCATAGTCTTTACTGTCCCTTGGCAGCATACCCTCGCGCTCTTCAACAGCCACACGGTGTTCAGCAAGCCGGCTGATTCTTTGCTGAAGAAGAGGAGCTGAGAGAACCATGTTCTTCATGTTTTCTGAGAACCCAGAGTAGAAGACAGGCTGGCCAATGACACGATCGTAAGCTCGCCATCCTTGACCAGACACATATAACGACACTTCGCGAAGGAATCTGGAAGAAGATTTCGTCAGTTTGAGTCGAAGCGTTTGACAAGGGCCAACATGTGCGAGATGGACACGGCGATGATGAGGTAGGGCACTTTACTGGAAAGGTTCAGAGCGGAATGAGGCAAACTTGTCCATCAAGGCCTCTTCCCTTCCCTCGGGAATAGTCTTGGATGGCGACTCAACATAACCACTGGGCTGGAGGGTTACTTCATCCCCTAATATCTGAAGGTCTGGTGCTGAATTGGTCGACGCACCGACCGCGTCTTCGTTATGCGACATGGCGGATACTGGCTTGAAGGCTAAGCTTCTGGAGTAGAGCGCGCGTAATTGATGTTCAACCGTTGTTTCTCATCGCCAGAGAGTGACAGACAGGGTCACGTCACTGTCCGAGGCAGCTTCGGCTATTATAATACAGATTCCAAGAGCATTGATTGCACTGCAGCTCATTACTATGACAAGTAAGGTAAGGTAACCTATCGTAAATGGAAGATCCAAGTTGCGACAAGACGGGATTGGCCGAGTGGGGCAGGCATCATTTGACTCTGCCGAGCGGCATGTGAAGCCTGAAGCTTGGACCGTTCCGTTCATTTCCCCAGAAAATTGCCTGCACAAAGCTCGGAATCGCGGTATATTTCCGCCCAACACTTTTTTCTACCTAGGTAGTTGATTTTCGACATAGCATGACGGGAACCAGTTACCTTAGCTATCAGTGTCACTCATCAGCCATGGCCAGCGCACCACAACAGGCTACGCAGAATCTGCTCGCCAGAGCGCATTCCCCCGACAGCGTGAATCGCATATACTCGGAAAAGATCCAGCATCGCTCGCTCATTCTGCGACCAACCTCTCCTCCACCTTCCACAATCAACGCGCGCGCCGCACGTCGAAAAGCTCGCCAAGATAAAAAGGAAAAGCAGAAGCAGAGACCCAAGCCACTATCGTCTCGAGAGAAGCGAAGCCTGGGCCTCCATGACATACCTAAGGATGGCCAAAAATATCACATCTATGAGCCTCTGAGTCAAATGTGGCTTGGATATGCTCGAGAGCTACTTGGGAACGATCTTTCGACTGGAGGGCCCAGTGCAGCAGCGAAACTAGCCAGCGCTGAGTTTCATGGTGCTCCTATTCAAGTTGTTCGAAGCCATTGCCCTAGTCGAGTCGGCATTCAGGGTGTTGTCGTCCGCGATCGCAAGTTTGTCTTCGAGATTATAACCAAGAAAAGAGGGGTCAAGGTTGTTCCCAAGGAAGGCACTATTTTTCGAGTCGAAATACCGATCACCGATGGAGCCTCTGATGGCGAGAGCGGGCCAAACAAAAAGTTTGCTTGCGAAGTTCTCGGAGATCAGATGACGTTAAGGGCAGCAGATCGCGCAAACAAGAAGTTCAAAGCACATTTTCTGCCGAATATCTGAGCACTTCCAGTCTCGGGATCATAGGTTAGGGACAAGGCTATGCGGGGCGTTATGGATGACGTCGATGCCTCTTATTGCTCATTGAGCATTCGAATCGAGACAAATCAACAACGTGATGGCAGAAGTATCATGAAGTGGGTACTTACGCATCCCGGTGGGCGTGGTCAGGTAGGCGTGGTGTTACCAACTACTCTTGTATGCGAAAGACTATGTGCCCATCCCTTCACATAGAGTTTCGCGAAAACGCCTGTGTCTCGCTTTTTCGGCGTCATGATACCACGTTTATGAGGGAACGAAGAGTGTCAGTATTCAAGATACACAATGTTAGTATTGACTGCATTGTGATATCTACACCTGGGTAGCTGGTTCTATAGGAGTTTCTCGCAAGCCCCAACAGCTATGCTGGAACTTGCAGGTCTGCATTTGCTTACATCGCCAATGCCCGCATGAACCGCAGTTGTTCAGCGGCAGTCAGATACAACACCACGAGAGTACGTTCGAGTAGTATTCAGGAGGTAACCAACACTCATCAATAGTTCTCATTGGGGGTGAGTGCATTGATAATGGTTAGAGGGTACAAGCTGACATGAATAGTGTTGGATGAACTCAAGGCACCGCGAAATGCGACACATGTGTAAATAGAGTCTAGTGATCCACTCTACGACTTGCAAGACCCATGACGTGGAATCGTCGTCTCGGTAGACAGCCTTCGGATAACATATCAGACGAGGCGGACTCAGAGAGTTCAGCCTATCATCACGCCTCATGGGGCAACAGAACTGAGCTGATGCTGTCTAAATGTCATTGCAAGATTCACGACAAAAATGCGTCGGAATATAATGACCAGGACCTCCGAATCATCTATAAGTTTCAATCGGCTCACATGGATGTTATTATACTTCAAATATGCAGAATAGAGTCATACTACCTTGTTCTTGATATCATATTCTTCTCTTTTGCCCTTCAGTTCTTTGCGCGTCTCAGGACGTCTCTAACAAAATTGCACAGCGTAATAGTTTCGCTTTGCTTCTAGCCAACTGTATGAAGCCCCATAGTTACACCACTAGAACAATGCTGCAGTACATCCCTGATATAAAACACTACAAATCATGACTAGTATGATAACCTATAGGCTCCAGCCCTAAGGTATCTCTACATGTAGCTGAGAATTGTGTCTGGTGGCGTGCATACTTGGCAAAGGCTAAAGCCCATATTCGAGTTTCAAGCTCTGATTTGCTGGGAGGGAGAACGCGTCGCGCTTTTTTAACGTGTTCCGTGCGACGTGCCTCATCTAAGAATGATCCGTACAGTCCCTTAATGTGAAACGACACGTGACCTTCGTGTTCCTCTGGTTCCATGAGATACCTTGAGGTACCATTTCTCAATGGTGAAGTGCTAGGTCTTTGCCATATTGAATAGACGAATAGTTAGCCCAATTTTCAAATCGGTGTCCGTACCGAGGTTAGATATTGATCGATGCATCGAATAGAATCCCCTGACCCATTCGGCTGGTAGCCAATAGTCGGGTATCTAGTTTGACCAGTTTCTCAAGATCAAGCCCTGATGACAAAATGTCAAAAATCGAAGTGGACAGCCTTCAATGGCTTTCTGCAGTTCGTCCCCATTTTCGTTTAGGATCCAGCCCTGAAATTCAATATGCTGGTTAGTAGTGCATGCCGGTAAATTCTCGGCCGTAGTCCTGTGTATCTGCCACTCTGTAACACAGTAACTTAGTACCAATTAACCCCACTAATCAGAAGCTGCCAGTTAGGTGGCTAGATCAACAAGACAGTGCTATTTGATGAACCCGCCAGTAGGCTGTAACCTGAGGGATAGTGTATGACCACTTGTAAACTTTGGTACCTCACTATCTGATAAATGGTTCCCCAAAACCCTTCCACTCGATTTTTTTCCTTGCCCCGTTTAAAGGTCACTCAAACCACAGCGTTTACATCACCACCGCAACATCACACGAAACCCTCTTCTAGTCGTATCCTCGAAAAAGAAACATCAACCTACCAAAGCCTTCACGTCGCGCTCCCTCGCCGATCACAACAATTAACACTATCGTTTACGATATCGCATACCGCATCGCCCTCCGCCTTTGTCTCTGGACATTGCTTCAAGCAGCGTTTTGTGCTCCCGTATCCTTACATCGAACTAAAGCTTTTTGCATTACTGTTGCGCGTTCGCTCCAGCAATTTTGCCAACAAGCCTTTTTAGTCACAGTACAGCTTCTGGTCACCGTCCCTCAGCTGTCACTTGCAACATCCATCCCGAATCGATCTACCATCGACATTCGCGCCCTCGACCTTGAACGACGAAGACGTTTCACACTCACTACCGTCCTTCCGAACTGCTAATCAATATGCCGACCAATCTTCCCTCGAGCTTTGCCTCGGCTGCCGCTGGCCAAAACGCCAATTCCAGGGGAGGAAGAGCTGATGGAAGAGGAGCTACTTCTGGAGACTGGTTAGTATTCGCTTTAGTTCTCACTGAACTGCTTTGTTTCCCCGGTGGTTTTTCAGCGGAGGCAATGGCTTTGTCGAAACCCTTCTTTGGCCTTGAGTAGCTGGACCTGGTATCATGGTGGACGTTGTGCTGCATACCGTGTCCCCCAAGTGCCCCGCGTGTAGCCTGTGGTTGTGGTGTGCAATACCTTGTGTGCTGCACAGCGCTTGGCTTGTTTGTCGCGATGGGCGCTTGAGAATCTTAGGACACCTTTTGCCCTGGCTTCAAGAATAGCAAGTGTGCTTGTCTTGGTTTTAGTGAACCGTATGCCACTTGTAAATATCTCGAAATTGCCTGTTGCTGTCGCACGGCCCGCCACAACTTGTCATGCACTTTCCACACACTACATATTGGTATTCACGAACAATCACTAATTATGTCTCAGGGCAAGGAGAGATGGCCGCTCTACCAATGGAACTCTTACCTTCCGACGATCTTCTACAACTCCTTTGGGTCAGCCTTCTTCGCAGCCGCCGCTCTCGACGGATCACGCAGTTCAGCACCCCACCGCCGAAAGCCCTGTGTCTGCATCTCCATCGACATATGAGCTGCCACCAGCGCGGTACAGCAAAGAGGACCTGTTAGAGATGTACCGTCCACAAAGGTTAGCCGACGACCCGACTCGTCTATTTGCCACGGGGTGGAATCCTGGCCAAATGAATGGACACACTCCTAGAGGTTGGGGTAAAAGCAACGACAATCATATTCCACAGGAACCTGGCGCGTGCTGGGATGATTCTGGAGATTCAACTCCAATGGGACTACAGGATATGTCGTTGGAGGAGAAGGAGGTGCGCCGCCCCCCGCACTGTCGGAGGTGTTCGAAGTTTGTGCTAACCACTAGTAGGCCTTCAATGAGATAAACTCGCCGCTTAAACCTCCGACCCAAAACAAAGACGCCCACCAAGGTGGCGCAAATGGACGTAAAGCATCTTTATCCCAGGGCACCTCCAATACTTTCGGCGTCAGTTCACCTTCGTCAGCTACACGACCTGGGACTCGCCGACGTGAGACTATCGAATCCAATCCCTTTGGTGGAAGTGCTTTAGCATCTCCCACTGCTAATCGCTTCTCTCGTGAAGATCCCTCCTACTGGCTTCAGCGCAGCAAAACTGATCTCAGAGAGGCTGAAGCCGACGAGTCCGACAGTGAGGCCGTTCTCCGTGACGCTCCTGGAAAACTCCCTCCTTTTGGTAATCTGATGCGTTCCAATACGGGTGGTATCGGGGGGGCCAACCCCATCTGGCCACCTTCCAACCAGACGACACCTGGTGTGGGAGCTTTTGGTAATTTCGCTCTGCCAACTTCGCCCGCCGTTGGTGATAAACGTGTTGGCGGTGCTGCTAGTGGGAGCAGGTTGGCTCATCTCATTCCCAAGGACAGCTCGGATAACCTTAGTGGCAAGGCAGCTGAGGGTCAAAACCCTCTCAACCAGCAGTCTTGGCGCTCTCGTCCCCGAACCGACACTGATCCATTTGGTGATGATACTCTATCTGGCAGCGCGGTTCTTGGCGGAGCTCAGGATACTGACGCTGGTGGGATGTCTCAGCAAGTACACCGAGCAGGAACCCTAGGAACTCCAGTCAAGGGGTCCGCTGGCGACTTCGGCATGGCAGGCCTGAATCTCGGATCACATGGTGATGAAGGCCCTGTCAGCCCCTCCGAGACTAATCCCTACCGCAGTCCTCCTGCTGACCGACAAGGCCATGATGAGATCGATACCAACGACGACAAGACTCACGGCGCAAGCCTTCATGATGGCCCTGCAAACTTCGGTTCGATCGGTCGTGGTTTTGGTGGCTATGATGGAGGTGATCGTAGCCAGACCTCGAGCGTTGGCGCCAAGGCATACCCTTCTTTGAACACTTTATCAGGTTGGCCCGCTTCTGGTAATCCTGGAATCGGCACTCCGGATCGTGAACGACCCAATCTAGGTGCTGCATTTGGTGCTTCTCTTTTTAGTCCCATGGGTGACCTCCAGTCGCCTGGACTGTCCAACCTAAACAATGTCTTTGGACCTGCCGGCACTGGTGGTCTTGGGACAGGAAGCATAGGTCGAGGCAGCAAGATGGGTTCTCTTTTCCCTCCCGCAATGCAGGCACAGATGCAGAGTCATGAGCATGATAGCCTCTCCGACTCTTTGCCCGACCTACGTCAGAGCAACCCTCTCGGCGCCATCGGCCGAACAAACTTTGGCGTACCACTTCGCGAGGGCGACAGTCCTATGCGAGCTAATCGCGGCGTGTTTGGAGCACTTTTCCCGGGTCCTGAAGCCTCCTCAGCACAAGGCATTTTTAGCACCGGAGAACCCAGTCATCCCACCACTACTGCAACTGCTCCTCAATCCCTTACCCCCGTCGGTGGTGGTCTGCCGTTTGGTGGCGGACAAGGCAGCACTGAGCCTCCTACAACTCAGGCCCAGCGCACGATGGTCATGCCAGATCGTATGAGATGGGTATACCTCGATCCTTCTGGACATGTCCAGGGTCCCTTCACAGGACTTGAGATGAATGATTGGTACAAGGCCAACTTCTTCACCCCCGACCTCCGTGTAAAGAAAGTCGAGGATCAGGAATTTGAACCCCTGGGCCAGCTTATCCGACGTATTGGAAACTCGAGAGAGCCATTCTTGGTTCCTCAGATTGGTATCCCTCATGGTCCCCCTACCCAAGCTGGTCCTTTCTCTCCTCAGGGTAACAGTGGAGTGGTCCCTCCCCTAAGTGGTGTGTTCCCTAGCTTTGGACGCACTCTTACGGCTGAAGAACAGAACAATTTGGAAAGACGTAAGCAAGAAGAGCAGTACCTCATGGTACAGCAGCGCGAGTTTGTCATGCGAGCTCAAGCTATGTCCAAGTTCCCTCTCCCTGGCCCAATGCTCCAGCATCACTCCAGTGCGCACAGCCTGCAGAGCCAACCAAGCTTTGGTAGCATTTCGTCCCCGAACCCCATCGGAATGTCTCACCAGCAGCCCATTGGTGCTATGCCACCTTCCGGAGCTTTTTTTGACGGAACTGGACCGGTCGGTAGTCAAGCAAATATGCCATCGGGTTCGGGAAACGGAGATCCCTTCAGAGATGATGACCTAAACAATCTCACAACTAACGATCGCCAGGTGCTTGCTGGTCTGCAAGGCTCTGGTGCTCCACAACCTATTGGCGCCCCGGCCGCTGATGCGGCACGCGCTGGTCTTCCGGACACCGATAACCTGGAGCAAGATCCCGAGGGATTCAAGGAGCGTTTTCAAGAGTTCAAGGCTTACCGAGCGCAGTTCGAGGCTGAACAGGCGGCTAACGATATCGAGGGCAACGGTGAGGAATCAATTGAGCAGCCTTCCCCTGTCTCTGAGGTCGCCACTGAAGAAACCCAACGGCCCACAGAGGCTCCGGCTCTAACTGGTAAGGCTGCTCGAGCTGCTCGCAAGAAGGCAGCTGAGGATGCCTTGTCTCTGACTCAACAGGTCCAGCAGACTCAGGCTGCTGCTGCCGCCGCCGCCGCTCAGCCAGTAGAGCCCGATATGCCCATGCCTTTCCCTCCCCCTGCGTCCACCGGTACTCCACTTCCGGCCCCCACAGCTCAGCGTGCTCGTTCAAACCTACCTGAGCAGTATAATCGCTCTCAGACCGGAACTCCTGACAGCGTATCAGTCAATGCTCAGCCACCTCCCCTGGCTCCTTGGGCCAAAGACCACGGCGCTGAAGGACACAAGGGACCCAGTCTGAAGGAGATTCAGGAAGCCGAGGCACGAAAGGCCGCAAAGGCTGAAGAGGTTGCTGCTGCTCAGAGGAAGGCTATTCTTGAGCAAGAGGCTGCAGCACTCAGAGAGAAAACTGCTGCCGTTGCCAATGCTGGCCTGCCTGCTACCAGTACCTGGGGTCACGGTTCGCCCGCTCCTTCTGCCAGCCCTTGGTCCAAGCCCGGACCCTCCAAAACCACTTCTACTTCTACCCCCTCAGCTTCAGCCTCAAGCAAGAAGACTCTCGCTGAGATACAACGTGAGGAGGAGCTTCGAAAGCAAAAGGCAAGCCAGCAGGTGAGCTCACAGGCCGGAACCCCGACTAGCGTATCAAAGAGTTATGCCAACCTCGCTGGGAAACCTGGCCAGTCTACACTCACCAATGCTGCATCTGCGGCGGCGGCGGCGGCCGCGCCACCCCCTGGAAGCGGCTGGGCAACCGTTGGTGCCGGTGGCAAGATCAAGGCACCCGTTGGCCCCTCGTCTCAAAGCCGATCCGTCAGCGGAACGACCGTCAAGCCTATGACCTCTCCCGTGAGGTCTATTTCTAAACCAGCTGCGTCAACTAACGGCAAAGCCGAGGGCGGCAACACTGCTATGGAAGAATTCAACAAGTGGGTGAACCGGGAGCTCTCCCGGGGCATCACTGGTGCTATTGATAGTAAGTCCCTTTAACAAGTGTAGAATGATTCTTATTTGACTTGAACTAACCAGATCCTCTAGTTCCCACCTTCCAAGCTGCCCTCGACGTGTTGCCCCTCGACACTGGCTTGATTGCTGATGCTGTTTACTCCAACTCAACCACCATGGATGGCCGTCATTTTGCCGAGGAGTTTGTTCGCCGTAAGAAGCTCGCTGAACGTGGAGTAGTCGAAAAGCAGCCCGACAACAAGGGAGGAAACGGGGGCGGTTGGAGTGAAGTTGCCAAGAAGGGAAGCTCGACCAGTGCTGCTGCAGTCGCTACTAGTCCTCGCGATGATGCTAGCATGCAGGCCGCGGGATTCAAGGTCGTGCCCGGCCGCAAGAAGGGCAAGAAATAGACGATACTCGCGCTCTAGTCGTGTCTTGGGGTGAAACGACGATCGCATCGGGGACTTGACCAAATCTGTGTGCATTGAATCTTGTCAGAGACTTCGCTGATTTGCTTTCTCTGAAGATGGTAATACTTTCCCTGGCTGAGATAGATTGTTCTGCCTGCCATTGGGACAGAATATTATGCAAGTCAAGATGTACCGCGGAACTTTGAGTCTCAAGGACATGAGATAATGTATGATGGGGAAGAAAACAAGAAACTGTTAATGACATGAATGTTGGAGCTGGGCTGGAGGAATATCTTGTTGTTTCAGTTCTTCGACTTTCATTCCACTACAAGTCATTGCTTAGTGTGTAGGAGATTAGCTCAGCCTGATGAAGCGTTGTTGATTATCCCAAACCTCCCATGCCTGTCACCCCGTGAAGTTACAGTGATTACGAGTCTTTTGCTGTGTTTGACGCACAATTTGCCCAGGAACTCCATAATCAAAGGACCAGTTTGAAACCATCTCATTCCCAGCCTTTTCTATACTTCATTTTACTCTTTTCTATCATGATCAACATTTGACCTAACCAGGTCATTTTCGTACCCAAATTCTTTCTTCAGGAGGAGATTCTTAGTCCTTCCATCAAAGTCTGCAAGGTCTTCCAACCCTCACTTCCCTCCCATCTCTCCTTTCCCCGGCCCATTACACTCCTTACAGCGCTTCTTGCCTTGCCCTTCCATTTACTGCCGATGGACTCAACTGAGGGGCCCCAGTTCTCAAACACAGACACCAACTCGTCAGTTCTCTGCACAACTATAGTCCATGCACCCTCATCAACAGTCCAGTCTCGCGCTTCATCTGCTGTTGTGGCTGCTGCTCCGGGCAGAAGACCACTACCTGAGGATCCTACGGCTGCTCGCCAAGCTCGCTCTGCTGCATCAATAGCACCTGCGTAGTCCCTTCTCCAAGCCCGCAGACGTGAAACCAGGGTCCAAAGTTCAGAGCGCTGTGTGATGAGGGGAACGACTTCCTCTTCAAAAAGTCGCATCACCAATCGTTCTGGCGTGCCACGGGGAGGCTCATAGACACCCGAATCTGAGGGCTTTTCCACAGAGAGCACGGCGTCTTGAAGCAACGCCCCGAGAACATCCGCATCGAGAGCATCTTCTGACTTGCGGATTTGGATAATGTGCTTCAAAGCGAGGATCATATCGGGAATAGCAGGTGGCTGTACACGTGAAGCCAGTGTGAGTACATTGTCCCAGATTCGCCAGTTATCGTGTGCAATGGAAGCACCTCTCTTGTAGGCAGCCAGTGACTGGGCCAGAAGAGTAGCTGGATCGCGATCTGAAGGCTTAGGCGCAGCGGCGAGAGCAACATCGTCCTCTTCATCCTCTGCAGAGACAGGCACACGGGCTTCTGATATGGGAGCAGGGTTATTCTTGGCCTCAGCGACAACCTCACAGTAAAGACTCCAGAGAGCACTTCCCAGATTACTCCAGGTTCGGGCATCTTCACCTCCAGCTGTGTCGCTTGCAGATCCAATAGAACGATTGAATGCCGCGGCGGCATCGCTGAACTGCGCAAGTCGCAAGCTGATATCTCCAAGACGGCTCCACATCTCAGGACTCAAACGATTGACAGCTGTGGCCTTCTTGTAGGCCTCACGGGCCTTCTCCCATTCCTTCTTCTGCAGGTAGTACTCGCCGAGCGACTTTTGAGCTCTGGCATATCGGTGCTTGGAGATTTCCCACGCACGCTCATAATAGGACGGTTCGTTTTCGATGTCGCCTAGGATGCAGAAGAGTCGTGGAGCGTTGGGTGGAGGAGGGTCGCGCTCAGGGCCAGAGAAGTCGGCAGCCTTGAGAAGTGTAACATCTTCACCGATATCCTCATCATCAGGGTCGGAAGTTGATGCTTGGTCACCAGTACGGTGGAACAGCCTCCATCGAAGAATTCCCTTGGCCTTGGCCTCACCACCACTGCCACGGCCATCCTCATCCTCTGACGCAGCGGCGCTGGCAAGGCAGAGTGCAACCTCAGCCCACAATCGGAGACGCTTGAAGATCTCGAGAGCAGAAGCAAGAGAGCCGATGCCAGCCCAGGCGTAGGCCAGTTCAGACTCGAGATGCCATCGTGGAGGCGAACAGATAGCATGAATGTACTCAAGACGCACATGAGCTGGGGCAGACTCGGAGGCCTTAGGCGCTGGCAGGAATGATGTTGGCTTGGGCTGAACAGGCGCAGAAACCTCGTCAGGGCTGGTTATTTGGATAGCAGGAGCGTCCGTTTCCGAGCTTTGCTCTTTTTCCTCGGCTTTTTGTTGGGCTTCCGCCGTGGTATCAGTGAGTACTTGGTCTGCCACAGCCTGAAGCTGAAGAACACCTCTCTCAACGGTTCGGCTGCGGTGGACCTCGATTCTGGATCGAACGAGCAATGCCTGGGTGTATATCTGCCAGTTCGTAGACTTGTCTCCGATGACTCTGACTGCGTAGGGTAGCACCTCTGCTGAAGTGAGGGTATCAATGGGCGAGAAAGCGTCCTTCAAGGTGGCCTCAGTAAGGAGAATGATCTGGTCGAGAGGGGAGAGTTGAGGCTGGTCGTCGGGTGAGAGATCAGCCAGGGCGGCGGGAAGGGAGGCTTTCTTGTCATTTTCGTTGGTTTCCTTGGTAAACTGAATTTCCTCGTGTAGAGTATCGTCGTTCAGTTGAAGAGCATCTGGCTTTGCTTCCTCTTCAGCATCGTCCACTCGCTGCTCAGAACCGCTCTTGGCTAAAACCACAAGCTGGCTGATGCTGTTCTCTTGGAACTTGGTTCGCTTTCCAAGGGCACCTGAGAGCGCATACTCTAGGCCGCTTGTTTGCGAGGCCTCCTTGATAGCTTCCTTGGCCTTGTCGTCGCGACCGAGCAGGATGTAGTTGTTGGCCGCTTCAACGAGGAACTGCACTTTATCATCACGGCTCCAGCCGTCATCACCTGATGCCCAGACCTCCTCTCCGAGGATCTTGGACCTCACGTTGTCTATTCCGTCCAAAATCTGGGAAGCCAACGTGGGCACGTCACTCCACTGGGAGCTTCGAGCAAAGTTAGACCCATGTCCAAGACTGGGCTGGGTCAGGAGCTTGTAGTGCCAGATGTTAACTCGAAGCGATATCCAAGCAACACTACTCTTGATCGGCTTTGCCTCAGAATGTATCTCCAGTACATCATTGGCGACTTGGCTCAGCTCCTGCGTGATGATGTGTTTTGCTAAGGCGAAGAGTTCCAGGTGAGGGATGTAGGCATATGGTGAGACGCCGTCAACCTCAAGATAGCTGAGACAGGCCTTATGGAGATGAGCGTGGCTCTTTTTCGCATCATCCGACTGTTGGCTAGCCCATGCCTTGGTAAAAAGCGTGCTTAGAGCCGCTGACTCCGGAAGAACAGGACCAGTGACGTTGACTTGAAGGAAGGCATTCAAGGCAGCAAGACCAACGGCCAGAGCTTGGGGAATATCTGTGTCTGTAGCAGGTTGAGTCTTTGCATCAGGTCCGGATATCAACCGAGTCATGAGAGCTTGTATCAGAGCCCCGGCCACCGGAGCTGGGTCCGATACGGAGCCGGAGGTAGAGTTCGGAGCGGGTTGTGAGTCGGCACGGGGATCCTTTGAGAGAATGATAGAGGCATAACGCCCGTTGCGCAGGGCGCTACCGCATTCGCTCAAACTTCCCATAGTTGTATGTGTAGGTAGTTACCCTCAAGGCTATATTTTATTTTGCCTTAGTTGACCAACATTCGACACCAGTTGGGCGTCAACGTTATGGCGTTGAGAAGGCAGGGTTAGGTCTTGGCCCCGGCCTCGCACTGCACTTCACTGCACTGAAGATATCTGTGCTCTTTTGATATATGAAATAGGCGAGATTAAAAGTGCAGTAATCCTCAGAGCGTACACAGACCGTAGGAGGTGTTCTGGGCTCGTTCCTCCGTTGGTATAATTTTTGGTGAATGGTGATAGTTGTGCCTGGTGTTTACTAATACAGCCAGTCGTAGGCTTCTATTGACTTCGCCGTTTAGATTTTTTTTTTCTCAACTTCTCCGCACCGCTCGCTGCCCCTCATCGGCCGGCCACCGAGAAACGACGGAGTTTCCCCCCACCAAAAAGTCTCCGTCCCGGCCGAAGTGTCAACGGCCTCAAATCGAAATGATCTTCTATGGCTGCATCTTTGACAGATATACACACATAGTATATATAGCAATAGTATGGGTCCGATTAGTATGCTATATCTGATAGTAGTCCTATACTGTGTAGTGATCGACGTAGCTTTTTAATATTACATCAAAAAACAAGCATAGACATATCGATTTGCTCCCCTGGCTGAATTGAGCCTTGGAGAAACTCAGGCCAAGAAGACTTGTCTGTCTGGACATTTCAAGAATTTGGAGAAGAAGGCTTCTCTTGTCCTAAGCTAAATCTCTTCATAAAAAGCTTACTTGTACGTATCGTGTGGTGGTGGCACATATAACCTTGGTCTTTAAGGATGGATGGCACGGCTATCGAAAGATTGGCAGCTTGGCTCAAACATGCCATGGCCTCCGAGTTCTAGAAATGACCTCTTTCCTTGGCCTGTCTCATCTGGCATCATCTTGCTCAACAAGTGAAGAGATTTCACTCTACGGCTCAATCGACCCGATGGAGAGCGTCAAGAACCGATACGATATTTTCTGAATCTTGTGGATACCCTCATCAACCGTCGTCCGACATGCTCAGTAGCTTCAACAGGCTTACCAGGTTTACGGTCGAACCACGTCTTATACAGCCAAGCGTCTTCTCGTTTCGCTACCAACGTTTAATAAGGAACGTCAGGGTCCGTTGCAGCCGACAGGGCTCCTTGTCCGTTTCCATGAGCCATCCCACTTTTCAGTCCCTGATCTAGACCCTATCGATGCAATTAGACCGCAACTAGACAGAATTAGGGAAAGCCATGCGCCTCCCTCCAAGACGTTTGGAACGGGGGCCTGTTAGTAAAAAACCGTATTAATCGAAACTAAACAACGCAACTGTGTACGGAAAACGTCCATCTTTCTCCATCTGTCAAAGTGGGTGCGAGCTTTTCTCTGCGTCGCATTTAGCGCGAGGTTCGGCGTAATACCGAAGCCTATGAGAGGCCTTTTGTTTTGTCTTGCGCCTCTCAGGATTTGGAGAAAAAGCTTATTGCTTCCTCAAAATGGAGAGATTTGCGCTTCCATCAGCGCCACTGTTGTTAGGCGCCTGACGTACAACGGTTCAGCCGTGACTGAAGAAGCCGCAAATGCATCACCAAAGGCGTGCTTGGTGTTCAAGCGTGACTCTGACCATCAAATTCTGTCACGCAGTAAGGGCATCCAAACAACGCACTTTGTACGGCGGGCAACAAGCGGCCAAGTCCGTCCGTGTATGCCAAGGCAGCCAGAAACCACCGCCAGTTGTAATTCAATGCCAAGGATGAACAGACACAGCCTTCCACCAACTTGGAGATGCAGCCAGGCGATGGAATCAAGCAGTGGAGACTGGCGTAAATCCTAGCCGGTACATTGAGCTATTGAACGTTTGAGACGGTTTATTGGACACTTGTAAGACAAACGCACTGGACTTATTCCGTAAACGATGGCAACGATCGAGATGGTCCTACCAGTAGGTAGTCAACGTAAACCGGGCGCACGTACTGCGCTGCAGGGCGAGAGCTGTGGGACAAACTTCGTAAAGTCCTACTATAATAAGTGAGAAATTGGCGCCAGGCGCGCCAGACGCAGTTCATGGAAAGGCATCTGTTGCATGTCTCGGGCCGTAAAGCCAGCCTACACTGCCAGGCCCGAGTCGTGAAGAACAAGGGTCCGACCCATCTCACCTTCAGCTCGGTTCAGGGTACGGAACGAACACCCAGGGCAACACGTCCTTCAACTGCACTTATGACCTCTTCCCCACGCGACAGGGGCGATACCGTTCAGCATGCTGCAGGTTCTATCATCATGATGTTGCAGCGCGGCTATGCATGTTTCCCCTTGTTCTGAATGGGGTTTGGGGATCCCAAGATTCTTCTATACGGTCCGACGGTAAAGGCGTAAAAGAATTAGCTGGGCATGATATTCGCGGGATAGCCTTAAGTGCGCCCCCGTCCAGACAAGCTTTCTCAGCTCTTCAAGTTGATGTGTATCCTTGAGTATCGCTCGTCAGACTCTTGTCACTGGGTCATTTTGCCTCGACAACAAGCAAAGATGGTAAGGCTGATAATTGGTTTGAGATCCTTGGGGTTGCATCTCAATGTCCAGGCGCTTTTAGCTGCATCGCTCATTCCGCTCCTTAACGTACACAGGTTTAGCGATCGACACGTGACCGGAGCCTCTCTTGAGTACCCGATACTAGGTAGGTATCAACATGCGACACCCAACATTGACGTGTGCTACAGCCGCCAAGTTTGTGGCGTGCGTTGGGGTCAAGCTGATAGTGGGAAGTGAGGAAAGTTGGTGTGAGAGCGGCGAATTGAGACGTCGTTGAAAGTAGGTTTTTATGTAATGACTACCCGTGACTCCAGTTTCTTCAAGGCCATTCATTGTACGGCCGTAATGGAGTAATGAAGTGAAGTAAAGTGTCAGAAAGAATTGCCGAGTCAGAGTTGAGGGCCATGAGGGGATGCTAAAACCCCAGATTCCACGCAACTGGGACTCGTTTTAGGGTAGTTTGCTGATCTCGGATGCACGAGCGACTCCGTCATTGATCTGGGGTCCAATAGATGTTGATGCCCTCTTCTGTGGATCACATGATATGTTTGAAAGATTGATGACATGAGGAAAACATAGCGAGCCCGATACTGAATGCCGACTACTAAGGTAAGGTAGCCTGTCTTCTATAATTTACAGTGGTGACCTTCTACAACTCACTACCTGAAGTATAGCGAAGTCAGTGAAGTACGGAATAAGGTGTGGAGGACTCGCTAGCAACGGCTGTCGCCAAATTCGGCAGGTGTAATCAGCCTTCGTTCAGCCTGACCATGATGACGTCAGAGACCACTACGGACATTATTCCTTTACTTTTACGTACCAGTATATACTGCTGAAGTAGCACGTGAGCAAGACAACAGTCCCTTATTATCACAGATTCATATCAGGCCTGCGGGTTTATGCAAGACAATCATATCTAAAGTCCCCCGAAACTCTACACGTCCTTTCGGTCCGTGTTGCGAGAAAATTGCGCAGTTGTTGACTTGGCTACCAAATTTCTACGCATCAACATGTCTCTGCTCGGTCTGGTTGGCCATGAATTAACGGGGAGCTTATCTTTAGAGGAGACTTTATAGGGCACTGGCCACTGTAAGATAGCTCCATTCATCCGCTTCAGTGGAGGTCACCCACTGAGGCGAGTTGTTGGAGAAGCTCCACACTGCTTTTTCAGTGGAGGCTACCCCTCTGGCGGAATTGGCTCCAGCGAGAGCCTCCAGATCGCCCGACTTCCGTGGAGTCTCCGAACATGTTCAAGACATTTTGATCTGATTCAAGAACCGGGCAATTCTCGGGTTGCCCAGACAGAGACCCCTTTCCAAGAGCAACACTAGAGCCGCCAAGTAGGCCCAGGCACCAGCAATTATAGAGGACGGCTTATGTTACTTCTGGTGATCAGCATGTCCCAAGCCCTAGGGTCCAACGTCAATCGGCAAAAAGCACCCTTATCAGCAGTGGTCCACAGTCGGGGAAGCATCCTGACAAGGATGCATGGATGCGGCCAATGTACGAGGTACATGCGAGTGGAGAAAGAGATATCTCTGATGGGGAAGATCCCACCCCTCTCCCTCTCCATGCCCGGGGGTGGAGAGGCGCCAAGTACCACGGCCCCGAGCAGTACTTGTACATCCATCCAAGCCAAGGAAATATCCAAAGACGCAAAATGACCCGACAAGCTCTCTCGAGTCGAGTCTAGCTAGTCTAACCGCACAAAGTTTGGACCATCAGACCAGGCTCTGACCAACATCGTCATGAAATATATCAACTTTTGCCCTGGATTGCATGTTGCAAGTGGAACTGTGCTAGGATGAACCAAGGAACACGTCCAGCAAGATAACTGCGAATGAAGGGAGGGCAGTGCTTCTATGCCCATGGTAATACCAAGTGGAGAGAGCTGAAACGTCCTTGAATTAGTTGTCTCTGCGGAAAGATGAGAGAGAGAGAGAGAGAGACTGAGCCCTCAACGAGAGATGTACGGAACACCAGAACCTCGTGGCTCGCTAAATGGGCAAAAGACGTGTAGATGAACCATTCCTTTGGGTCCTACCACCACAGAATGGTCAGCAGAGGGGACGCCGAATACGACACATCGCGCAGCCTGATCGATACCATGTCAAGTCTGCATACTGAATTTCGATGCGGCCACAGTCTGTCTGCTCTGAGAAAACTGCGCAGTTTCTCTAAGGTAAAAGCAACAAAAATCGAAACTACACTCTGGCATTAAGCCGGGATTGGTTGGTTGACTCGACCGGGCGTACAGTAAAGTAAAGTAGGAAGAACCCTTGTCATCAAGTCTGTTACATGCAAGCGAGGTATTTAATATGCCTCACGCAAGGGTGTAAATACTTGGAACTGAGGTAGCCAGAAGCAGTTGGCCTCGAGAAATGGGCTTGACTTTGCTTCTCCACTCCTCCTTCAGCTAATCCTGGTTCGGACTGGCCGCCATCATCCCGCTTTGTTGCAGTCAATACATGCTTGCTT